TCGAGACTTTAGAAAGCGAAAGATTTATCATTGACTCACAAATAATTACCTACACAAAATTATATTACGTGAAACTCACCTTTCAGTAATAATAAACTATCTTCAATTTCAATTCGTTGTAAAATATGCACTGATTAATTTATTACGTGGAATCCACCATTATTCCATGTCACTTGTTGAAAACACCGATACCACCTTCACTGTTAAGTTTAAAAAAAAAAACTATAACACAACACGCACTTCCCGCCAAAATTCTACATTATTCGGAAAATTCAAATCGATATAGATCGACTTCCGTATCAATTGACAGATGTCAACGTCCTCGACGCAATCCGGACACTGGCGGCAAGTGTCGCCGTCGGTTCGGACTTTACGCGCGAGTGCACATCGATTGCAATGAACAAAAATAATTATTTCGATTATTCGAACGTAGGGTTTGTGATGTTTGAATTTGTGGCGGGAAGCGTGTGTTACGTTGCGAGCGTGCGTTCGGAAATGTACGCGGAGGCCGGACGGTGCGCGAAAAGCGACTGCGGCCACTGGTGCTCTCGCGACACTCTCTGCCCACCGCTGGCCGCATGTGTAAATGTTAATCCGTGATATTATTTAGTTTAACCGATAAACGTTGAGCCGCTGCACTCGATACAACAACCCTCTACCGTTGACTTTTTGCCACATTTCGTACTTTGTGCAGCTCAATGAATATTTGTCGGTCTCAAAAGGAGATAGGCCAGTTTTGTTCGCACAAAGCGTGCATTCAGCAGCAATTTTTCAGTCTAGTTTTTAAAATGAAAGCTGACAGTTTTGTAAAATATTTTACATGCTGAACACATCCTTTGTTGTGCAAGTAATGGGTAAGCACGTCTGAACATCTAGTGTGCTTGGAACACAGAACATGAATCACAAAACGTTCTACATAACCGCATTAACCTAAATAGGAAATATGTCTGTTGCATTGAAACTATTTCATTTTTCTATTTTACCCTCTAAAATATTTCGACAGATTGGTCAAAAGGAATACAAATCAAGTTTTTTCTTAACTTATAGCCAAGTGAAGTTTTTATATACATATAAGTCGTGACCATTCCGTGTATTAGCTGCTACCTACCAATTCAGTAGTACGTGATGAATCAAGTACCATATCTGATTTTATAAAACAAATTTATTTTCGCATGAATATAAGAAAGAAATTAGGTATATTTTTTTATCACATCCACTCTATAAAAAGCTGAGTATCATGGTAGTACCCTACTATTGAAGACTAGGCAATTATATTAATATTCACTAGCTATGCCCTGCGATTTCACCTGCGCAGTTTATAGCGACATAAGATCTCACCGAGGATAATCGTATACAGGTTCAAAAGTAGGTAAAGTATAAGTCAAATTAATAAATTCAATTAGAACATTGTCACTTTTTAAGGTCAAACTAAGATTTAAAGCATGAGAGAGCCATGCTAGTGCGCATGGGCTAGCTTGACCGAGAACACAATGTGTTGCGCCGTCTGAATGAACGCAACCCCATGCCCTTCCTATCCCTAATCCCGAAATCCCCTTTCCTTAAATCCCTAAAAACTGACACTAACATTTACAAACTTCTCAAGTTTGCCAACTTATAAGTATCATAATATTAGAAGGGTTCATTGAAACATTACTTATTTTGGTGCATACTGTCCTGTGGAGTAGGACCAGCCTGTCACAAAAAAAATCCTTATATCATTTCAAACTTTCGAATTCTTTTGCTCTACGGCCACTATACCTACGTAATCTATTTTTTATCAAATCATATCAGATGTATCAGACTAACACCCAGTTTCTGAAAGGCTTGTCAACGCTAAAATTAACTAATCTCCTGTTAAATCTCCTGTCAAGTCATCTGCTTGGTTGTTGATAATTCAGTGAACCAATCAGATGACTTGACAAGAGATTAAATTGATTTTAACATTGATCGGCCTTTCGGAAACCGGGTGTAAGTATTACCGACTTATACCAACTTCATTTTTTCTCCAGCTCCAATTTGGGCCACTGTACGTCATTGCAACTGCACCAAGCTGGAGTCAAAGTCAAAAAAGTCAAAAATAATTTATTTCAATTAGGCCACAGTGGGCACTTTTGAACGTCAAGCAAAAAAGAAAAAGAAGAAGAAAATAGGTTTAAACTTATGCATGTCAGTTTGTCCGTCTGTCTTCTAGTGAAGCTATTTGTTCGTTTCAAAGTGTAGATTCCTACGGAGAAGAACGAGCAAGAAACTCCATGGTTACTCTTTTTCAATCAGTTTTTCAATTCATTACTTTGTTACATCATTTAGTCGGTTCAGATATGTGAGAACAGTGTAACACTAATGTTAAGGCAAAAAATTTGAAAAAGAAGTTAACCTCAAGGACGTCATATTTAGACAGCCAGGAGATGACCAGTCCCAATGGGCGGCGCCTGTTCACGAACATGACACGAACCCCAGCACCGCCCAACTCAACCATATTATAGGGAATCGAGCGATCCAGTGCCCGTGCCACCGCCAATGAGACCTCTGAGTGAGCATGACAACTTCAAGTTGACACAAGTACCCATATTCTACAATGGAGTAATTATTATCTAGTGTCAGTGATTATATTTATTTATTTATATTTTAATGAACTCATGATAAGCAAAGACACATAAAGCCGATTTCATGGCATGACACAATTACTCATGGTATTTCGTATCAGTTCAGGATATCTAAATACACAAGTACAAAGTGATAGTTTTTTTGGAGGATGGAAAATCATCAAGTTCCTTCTCTCGTACCCAGACTCTTACTAAATTTAAAAAAGCCACAGTCAGTCAAATATAATAGGTAAGTACATACTTATACTCTAAATATACTTACAAAATTATTTAAACACCACCGACTAACGATGAAGAAAAAACTTTGAGGAAACCAGAAAAGGACTACCAACTTGAATTCGTTTTTTTTATGGTTTTACATATATATTTTTAAAGTCCCCTTATACACAAAACAAGATTTATCTTATCTTTTTCTAGATTTATAGCCAGGTTTTGTATTCTGAATCTTATTTTATGTTATTTCCACAACTTTCTAGTTCTCATAAAATACATTTATAAACATTTTAATTATTAAACGCTAGATGGTAGATACTAATGTTGGATAAAATAAAATCACGACATATATTCTATTTCTTCCTGATTAACTACCATTATATCCAAACTAATCCAAACTGATATTATAAATGCGAAAGTAACTCTGTATGTCTGTCTTTTCTTCGCGCAGCAACTACTGAACATATGTATTTGTGTTAAATTTGGTACAGACATAGTTTAGAACCCGAGAAAGGACACAGGATAGTTTTTAACTAAAAATCTGCAGGAAGTTATTATTCGACGCGAACAAAGTCGCGGGCAAAAGCTAGTACCATATATACCTGATTATATACCACTGATACTACTGTACCTAACCATTGCAACTACCTATATGACAGATTCTAGCGCCGATCTTTATCGTGACGTCACGAGTTTCGATTAAAATGAACCGAGCTCAAACATTATTAAACTTATTTACTGAGTTCCTATTTTTCGTGGCGGCATCAGAATGGACGGATTACTTGATGGTAAGCAATCGGCGCCGCCCATGGAGTTCCGCAACACCAGTGGAGTTACAACTCTGTAGTGATTTCACGCTGATTTTCAGTGAGGCCGTGGATTCCGGGCGAAAACATACTTTAGAGCCGAAACATGATTCTCCAAAACTAAAAAAAAAACGATAATTATTATATCGTAATTTTAGATCGCTCAAACAACCAACTTTAATTTCGAAATTACCAACCCATCTGGAATATAATACCTAGGTGATAGATCCTCAAGCCTTAAATAATAAATACTATGTAAATGTAAAACGGTCATATTAATTTCAAAAACTACAAGGAAAACAGCGCCTACTCGGCTTTGGTTTTAACTAATTCTGTTTAGTAATAAACGGTTGCTTGCCTTTACAAAACTTTTAGGCGTTTAATAAATAGTCAAAGAAATCATGAGTCACTATCCAAGTAAGACTACTTAAGACATTTGTAGGTAGTTAATGTAAAAACTTATAAGAAGTTTTTGTTTTAATTTGATAATTATGTTGGTGTGCACTTATGACAATAATTATAACAAAAAGTTAGTGTTTTTTATAGTTAGGCATAGGCACAAGCTTTATTGTTTTTGAACGAAAATTTTAAGTTAGTTTTAAATTAAATTCTGAACGAGGCAGCAACCATCAAGTCGACGTCACCAGACTGTCAATCAGATGACGTCAGTTGAGGTCACAAACATTTTGTAACTTTTGTTAAATATTATTATATTCAAAAAATAATGTCACTCATAAGTTTGTTTTTTTTAACATTTGAATAGAGATTACTAAGACACCAATTAATTTAAAAAATTACATAAAATTGTTCAATTACTGAAATAGTTTCTTACTACTTGTTAGAAAACTATTTCAAAATAGTCATAATCTATTACCTAAAAAATAAAAGTGGGTATTTTTACAAAAAAAAATATAATCAACTTACTTTTAATTGACAAAAAAATTACATACCTACCTTACAAATAGGTAGATATAGGTAATATATTTATACATAATTTTTATTTTTTTATAAATATGTACTTAAAATTAAATAAATAATTTTAAAGTAATTATCAACTGCTACCAAAAAAGTAAATGAACCTATTTTATAAAAATAAATTAAATTAGTCTCAATTTAGAATTATGATACAAAATGTTTAAAATGTTGACAGTCCCTTAACCACTTGGTACCCATTACGTCACTCTTCCTAAGATACATTTTTTTTAACGCGAAGGGCCTTGAACCAGTAGAGTAATTACCTCGAATGAATCGGGCATTAGTTCATCCGGGCTTCAGAAGCCTTTGTTTCATTCATTATTGCTACATCATGTACATCCCGAACATCATTTCCTAAACGAAACAAACAATTTTAGTAAGTAAAGATTTCACTTATCCCAATGTAAAAAAACTTCTAAAGGCCTTGCTCGCTCAACCGTGAACGACGATTCACTGTCGTCGGCACAACTTTTGCCATGAAAACAGTGAATTTTTATAATGCAACCTCTTTTCGCAACCGTCAAAACAGTACTATTATAAGCGTGATATTTTATTATCTTATCGGCGTAGATTATGTACACAAGTGTTGGTTTTGTACCGTGTAATGGACAACACATTAGTTACCAGCACTCCAATGGGTACCGTGTGATTACTACTGAATACCGAGAAAATAATATAACCAACAAACGTATGGAACGTAAGGATTTGACATTGAGTTTCCATAACTTAATCAAACGAGGTACAGTACAGTGTTCTATGTTTGAATTTAATTTTATTTTCATATTTGTTTTAATAAGTGGCCAGTGTCTATCAAGTGAGTGATGGAAAAGGTTTTAATGGTGAATTAACTCGGTGTTTTTAAAGGCTTTGGTGTTTTGTTTAATTTATTTTTGTAATGTGTGTTAGTGCTAGATCTTAGATCTGTGGTAACTTGGACCTACAGGGGATTTGGATGGTATTTCTCCTTCTACACAAATATTTATTTTTGTTATTAAATTTCCTAAGTAAGGACCATAAAAAATATTTTGTCCTTGATGATGCTATTTCCTACGGTAAGTACTTGCTAATGCTTATCCAAATTGTAACAATACATTCATGATAATTTGTATAATTTTATCAGATTATTGGTATGACACATTTGCAAACAATTAAACTGACTTTTGATCAGTGAATTAATTTTTATGAAGTAACTCACATCAAATAAAATTTTGATGACTGAATTATAACTTAAATCCGATTACAAATTGCATACTTGTTTCTATAAGAAGTTCCGTAAAGTTCTTTTTTATTGAAAGTTAATATTAAAAAAAACTGACTAATTTTTCATCAGTGCAGCTATGCAATTACTATTATGATTCTGTTATGCTTATCTTAAAACTATTTCATTCTGAATCTCAATAAATTGTACAATATGCTATCTGATGATTATTTTTAAATATTTCTTTTAACACTTTTCCTGTTAATTTCTTATTTATTATCACACAGTCACTCCTCAATTTGTTATTATCATATTAACTTGGTAAGCTGCAGATAGATTGTGGTAAGACTGTAATCGTTGTAATTATCAGAACTAAATCTTATATTCATGTCAATAACTTAATGTGATGTAATTTTTCAAAAATGGATATGTTACACATACCACTTTATTATCTTTCTTAGAGGGAACCTGTATGTATTACACCACTTAACTACAGTTTCACTTTACACTTTTAATCTTTTCAAAAATATTTTTGTGCTTAATTTTCTTTTCTTCAATGTTGGTATTTGTAATGGTAGGTACTATAAAAGCATAATGATTTAAGTAACTATGCAAGTATTTTTCAATATAATATTTATTATGATACTAAATTTTTTTCACAATTCGCGAGTCCCAATTGGTTGTCAAGTATTTGTAATAAGGTTCTTAATCAAGTTGTCTGCCACTTGTTGTCACTAAATAAAGTTACTTCTTTCATTTCTTAATTAGATAGTCCTCCTTTCCTCTCAAGTAACCAAATGCCTACCAGGCTCTTGGGTGTCCATTGTCATCATAAGCCATGTTAAATTAAGTGTTGCATTGCAACTGATAAATAAATTGACCATATTATTAAGACAATAAAACTGAAGAACAATTTACTATTGCATTTAATCAGATGTTAGAATGAAACAAAGGCATTGATATGTGATATAAAATGATTGTAAATAACTGCATTGCAGATAATAACTAGGTACAACTAGTACTGTAAGTCATATGTTTGCTATTTAAGGCATTTTATGAGGACACCTTGTTAAATAAATTGTTCTTCTACTTAATGGTAAACTGTTTCATCCTGTCTTACAGTATCTTGGTTTCTAGTTACCTTTTAAGGACCTCTTTGGTACTACCTATCTTGGTACCAATGTTCATATTGTTTATGGTCTCCTATAAGACATTATAACATGAAATACTTACCCCAATTTGTTTTTGTATTGTAATCGATTTTATTTGTGATTTATTGTACTGGCTTTGGCATATCCTTATAGATAAACGTCCCGAAAGCAATAAACAGAACTAAAAAGAACATTGCACTGTTTCATATAAAGTCTAACTAAAAAAATCTGATTGTTCATTGTATGTACCTAATTTGATGAAAGTATCTGTAAATTCCTAATTTAAATATTCAAACTGATTTATAATAATAAAAAAAGATCGCCTATATCTATAGAGCTAAAATTTTATTAGGATGAAATTTGTTTACCTGTACCTTTCCAAAGAATTATCTACTCTCCTACCGTTTGGGGAAAACCAGGATGTATTGTTATTTATTATATTACATACTTTATGATTCATTACTGCAAGTTAGTATTTATAACACAATGGATTCGAGTTATTACAATGCTTATTTTTAATTCAAATTGCATTAGTATTTATTATTATTTATACCAAGACATCTTTATATGTATGTTGTCTGGGAAGCTATATCTTATATTCTTATAATAGTTAGTTGTCGACGTCTTGTGGTTGAACGTTTTGATCATGTATAGATGCTAACTATGCTAAGCTTCCGTGACTCATGAGTAAAGTATTGAACGTACCTACTTAATTAGTTATTACGTGTACCTCTACCTACTGTGTACGACATTGTTATTTGACGTTTATATATTAACATTCTAAGGCAGGCCTGCGACTCCTCTGTTGTTGCAGGTATCCATGGTCGGCGCTGATTACTTACCTACTTGGTGATCCGTCTGCTCGATTACCTCCTATTAGTCTTATTCCATTAAAATTCTTAAGTAAAAAATACAGTGGTTACAAGTTACCTTCTGACCTGTGAGCCAATCAAAACATCAGCCGGGGTTGCGGGGTAAGCGCAATGAGGCACCGCGACCTCGGCCCAGAGCACGAGAAGAAACAGGGGGGTTTTTAGTCAGTAAGAGCCTGACACTCCCTCCCGCCCGGCCCTGGGCGGAAAAAGTCATTTGATGATTTTCCCCTCACAAAAAAAGCCTATCAAAACATTAAAAGTCAAAAATCATTTATTTCTATTTGACCCTACAGGCACTTTGAACATCAAACAAAATTGAAAGATATAAAGTGTCAGTCTGTCGGTCTGTCCTTTTAGTGAAGCTATTTGCCCGTTCCAAAGTGTAAATTCCAATGGAGAAAACTTTTCGTTTCATTCTAGTTTTTTCCCAAATGATGTAATCAGTATGTGTGAAATCTAATCTAACAGTAATGTGTGAAATCTTACACAAACTTACAAAGTTTTAAAATACATACTCAGTATAAGTTCGCCAAATGCGTAAAATATTTATTCGCTCGTTTTAAAAAGTTAGGTGAGTTAGGTTTTAATTCTAAGAATCCAGTTTACTAATCCTTTTGGCTATGTCGACAACATTTTTTCTCCGCCGGATCACCTCGTTTTGAATACCTACGTTCCTTCAGAGAAACTCCATAACCCTTTTCATATCTTACAGCGCGACTTTAAATTGAAAAATCGACAAAACTCTTATAAATTATGTGCCCGCTATAAAATTTGTTGAATCCTTTAATCTGTAGCTGATTCAATATCTATCTGATATGTATAACACTAATATTTTCCACAATTGCTTACCCATGCTTATCCATACTAAACCATCTTAGACGATATCCATCTAAGCGGTTGCCCATTGTATAACACGTGCCTAAAAGTATAATTTATTTTATACATATTATTTGTAAATAAAGTAAACAATAAACTGTCAATATGACGCTGTGTTTGACACATTCCATACGGCAAACGCGTTAAAGTATCCGCTAGTTACAACTACCCAGGCCATCGGTAGTAGTACCAGGCTTTAAGTATAAGAAAGCCTTTGAACCCATAATACAACTGGAATCGTTTACAGATGAACAGCTTTACGGGTATACGAACTACGGGATGGATACTCCTACTCCAGCTCCGTCAGCATCAGGCGACTGCCTCGCCGGATTCGGATTTCCCACCATGGATTCCCTGAGTCCTGTCCTAGACTCAGACTTTGATGAGAGCCTAGCGGTACCTGAGTCACTATCCATCATAGAAGGTGACAAAGTCGACAATAAAGAGGAAAACGGTGTTGGTGGTAAGTTACTTTTTTAAAGAAAGATGTTTTTTATAATAAATTTGGCGATTTAATTTCATTTTCATAAATAAATACATGTACAAAATACCACTTTCTCCGAACCGCTGCTAAAATACTTTCGTAAAGAGTTTTTGAGGCAGAAAATCATGAAACGCGTTCTCTCGCCCCGCGTGCGGCGAGAGTTTCAAACTCTTTCTGATTAAAAACTACCGCGTTCCTTCTCCTACTGGGGGTGGTCCGCGGTAAAAAAATTGTTAACAAACTATTTATGTACTAGTCGTTTTAGTAGAAAAAAGACTTATTCACCATTGAGATTGAGATTAAAATACTGCTTATTTTTATATAAACAATTGCAATTCCAAATGCAAACTCTACATAAAACTATAATGATTTCAATTAAAAAAATGCACAAGGATATGTATACCTACTATCTATAATATGATATTTCATTATAAATAAAAGAGTACCTAGTTCGAAATCTGTTTATCTTTGTGGTGGTCCTCTAATAATTTAAGTATCCACATTCATTCGTTATTCATTTATCTTTATTTGATATAGACAGATAGATAAGTTACATATGAACTTCAGGAATATTTTTTGTATGGGCAAAGATAAAAATGATCATTCACTCAATCTGTACGGAACAGATCAACTGATGTTACCGTTCTTGAGATAAACGGCTAATACTGTTTTGTGATAAGAAAGAGTAGGAAAAAAGTTAACGGTTGCATTAATACGGTAGTTTTCAAATAATCATTTTGAATAGTTTGTACTAAATTTTGTATGAAATTGAAACATATGGATAGTCATAGGTATTCTTTTAACCTCAAATGTAAATACTTGTAGTAAACGTATTAATTCTACGTAACACACGTTTAGAGCCGATCCTAGTGCGTGTGGGCACCCCTGCTGGGCACCAAACCCAACAGAAACGTGAGACAAATCACGTTAAGACCCACTTATGACAAAAAGGCGCCTTTTTCATGTTTTCGCCATAAAGTATATAAGACAGACATGGCCTATGTTGCAGTGATGAACTATGAAACGAATCCACAATGTAGGAGGAGAAAATACCGACGTTTTTGTAAATATGGATGAATGACTTTTCTTTTATAAAAAAAGTTGATAAGAAATACCAATTCTGTGCTGTTTAAACTTGCTGGAAAAGACAAAAGAATAAGTATTAATTTCTGTTTGATTAGATAGGCAATACGCAAACAAGTTATTTCCTATCAGATCCTAATGCAATGGAAATAATATCTTTTCCTTATCAGGTGAATTTTGATAAGTAACCTCTGATTCATATGAAAAATGCATGCGAAGGTAATTTTTTGTCTATGAGTCAGTCCTTGAGTCCGTTTGGAGAACGGTTGTACCTACGTAAAAGTAATTAATGTGTTTGTTCTAATTACTTTTTAACGTTGCCCCACACTCGGACTTTTCATATCGGGGGTTCGTGTACAAACACACAATTTCACATACCTACACATGTCACCCAGACCTGGAACAACAATCTGTTGATCTCACAAAGAGTTGTTCCATAAAGGCCAAACATCGTGTTAAAGATATATTACCTACATAAAATAGGAAAGCCGAGTGTTCACATTTGTGACTGCCCACCATGAGAACGGAAAAAGAATTATAAATTCCTCTTGGTTAGAATTAGAGTTTCATAATATTTAATAGCATGGAATCTGGAAATTTGCCATTTGTGTGTGGCAATAGGCTCGCCCTTAATCCATGAAACTACATATACAAAAAATAAGATTTTTTTTATGTGTTAGGTCGGCAAGCGAGCAAACGGTTTACCTGATGGTAAGCAATCAGCGCCGCCCATGGACACCTGCAACAACAAAAGAGTTGCTAGTACATTGGCGACCTTTTAGGGATTAGGGGATGGGAAGGATTAGGCCTCCGGTAACCCCACTCACACAGCGCTGTGGTTGTTTCACGCTGATTTTCAATGAAGGCGTGGTATCACTCCAGTGGAGCCGACCCATTCGTGCGGAAGCTTGGCTCTCCCACACTTAAATATTCGATATTTATTTATAGCTAATTATTTTCCGAGTGACTAATAACTTAAAAGTCGACTAAATGTTTGCAACAAATAAAATAACTTGCCAGCAATTAAATATTTTCGCGACTATTATATTATGTAAGGTTCAAAATTAAGGGTGTTATAAAAACTAAAAACTAGCAGCTGCGTTTGGGTGGCAAATAAACTATACCAGTCAATTGAAATATTAGGCGAGGAGCTATTTATAATGACTTGGCGACTAATAATGTTAGTAGGGTGGCAAAGATAATATATTACAAACTATTTCGTGCCGTCTAAAAACCCAGTTTCAGGCTTCGCTTTGCGGACAGCTCTAAATGTTAAAAGGATTATTATAAAAAGGAATAAGCGTTAATTGTTACTATTTTTTTATTATAATTTCGTGAAAACGGCGGAAGATGCGATGGTTGGATACGAGTGTAGTGCGGGGTGGCGGGGTGCGTGTGGGTGCGCATATAACGAAACATGGCATACATTTGATGAGTACAAAGAATAAAACTTTGCGTTCTGGAAAGTAGTACTACCAAAAACAGAATGGAAGAAAGGCATGTGCAACTTCCCTCAATTTTTTTAAATATACGTGTGTAAACATATAATAGGCCTTGCCATAGGGTTGAAACTAGCCACTCCGCCTTTAGAGGCCAAATTGATTCCAATTGGTCAAAAAAGAAAGCGAGGGCGTCCTGCCAAATCTAAACCTGCCCTAATAATACAGTAATATATTTTTTTTCATTGTGTCTACCTGCGTAACTTTTTATTCTGTAACTTTAATATGTACTTAGGTATAACTACAGTCTTCTGTGATTTTTTAAAAATAAATAAAAGTAATTACTCTTTTTATGTTCGTAACTTATTCACCTATAATTTTGAAAATAAAAGCCGCAAAATATTTTTTCTTCATGCCATTTTAGAGTTTATTTAAAGCTATTAAAAAGTCGCATAATATATGTATAATATAAGCTACTTTATATTTATTCTTCATGCAAATAATTTTAGATAGAATCTGATTTGTATAATTATAAATGCCCATTTTCTATTTTATTTTCATCATTAAGTTTTGGCTTAGATATTAATTCAGTTCCCAAAAGAAAAACTTGATGCTAGTTTAATTTAAAACGGAGCTTATAACTGCTATATTAATATGCTACCTTTTACTTCTTACGATACTCCTTATTAGCTGCCAACCCCTTATAAATGGTACCCATTCTATTATTTTTTAGAACCTATATTCATTTTACTTAGTCGCTGCATTAAATACATGCCTTTATTTATTTACATAATATTTTTTGTTACAGTACCAAGACAAACGACAGTGCCATTTAAATATATCCACAATCCTCCAGTAAAGTTCAATTCAGTGCATAGAAAAGTGTTCATTCCGGGTGTTGAAATAAAAGTCAGATTCGTAGAGAACGAAAGGAGCGTCACAACGCACTTGCTGAACCCTAATTTGTAAGTACTTCTTTGTTATTTACATTTATTTGTGTATTTTTATGTAAATAATATAAGTAGACATTTAGCTCAATGCGATTTATAACTTTGAAGGTTTTGTTACAACGGGTCCCAAAGAGACCAGAACAAAATATCCACATTTTATTATGAGAAGATTGGAGAATTTGGGGATGGGGATAATTGGTTTGAACAAAATCAAATCATTTATTTCAAGTACCTAGGCCTTTTTAGGTCAAGCAAAAAAAAAAATATATCAAAAGGTTTAACTTTATGCGTATCAGTCTGTCCGTCTGTCCTTTAGTGAACCTATTTGCTCGTTCAAGCATAGACTTAAAAAAAAAAGACTTCTATGGAAAAGAAGTTACTCTTTTTCAATCAGTTTTCCAGGGCATTTCTGTGTTACATTATTTAGTCCTTCAGTAACTTCACTCGGACGGTTGTTCTCGCCGATTTTCTGTGAAGATAATTTAAAAGGATATCATTTAACAACGTTGCCTAAAAATACCTTTAACCTAGGCCAGAAACTAAACTTCTTTATATATAGTGACTATTTCTAGCTAACAATTACATGCCCCCCAAACTAGACAAGGCAAACAGAACAATTGATTGATTATAATAGTGTCTAGAAATAGTCGTGCTCTATCGTCTATGCGGTAAAATCAGACGATGTTTCGTCTGCAAGATAACAATGTCTGTATTTCACCAGCAAAATTTTATTAATAGATATATTGATCGACTAAAATGTACCTTATTTTCAACGACGTTGAGTAAAATGTTGCATAAATAGGAAATGCCTTATAATTTCATCGTTATATGGATTCTTACTAGCCGTTTTGAAAGATATTTGAGTAAGCCTCTTGTCAACAGCGTTTCTTGTGGCTTATGATGATAGTGAAATTCATTCTTTATAGGCGAAAATACTACTATTGACATAAATGACTCCTCCCGTCCTATGTGAAGAAATAATGCTTGTCAGACTTACTAACAAAAATAAAATATTTTATATACTATATTGTATTTATATATGATATTATTATATAATATTATAAAGCTGGACAGTTTGTTTGTTTGAACGCGCTAATCTCCAAAACTACTGGTTCGAATTGAATAATTATTTTTGTGTGTGTTACTATATTTATCAAGGAAGACCTTAGGGTATAAAACATCATGCTACGATTTGTAGGAACCGAGCAGCGAGTGAAATCGCGCGACAGAAGCTAGTTATTTATATACGGTTGAATTGAGAAACCTGCTTCTTTGGGAAGTCGGTTAAAGACTACCCCATTCTTTTTCTGCTCCGAACCGGGTCGCGGTGCATCATTGCGCTTAACTCACAACCCTGGCAGATACTAAGCCATAATTAATTTTCTCATTAGCAACCAACTTGCTCTAGTGAATATGTTAGAAATATATAGTCTAAAGTCCTAGGTATACATAATTCTAATGGTTTACCTCCTAAAAGGTTGTTGAACGTTTTACGATTACCCTGTTTACATAATTATCATATTCTTTTAACACAAAGAACTAGTTAACAGAAAAACCTTACACTAAAGAAAGTAATTCCCTTGAGTCACAATTACATTACAAAAACACTTTCTAAAACAATTGTTCCACCTAATTTCAATTAAAACTATGTTCAAATATGAGTAAGCTTGCTCAAACAAGTACTAAATAAACAGAACCAATTAAAAATCCTACAGATAACGCAATCATTCGATATTATCAAGTAAAACATTCGTCATGTCACATCTTCATGATGTTTCATTTGTTACAAAATTACAACTACATATTGTATGTATGTACATAGGTTTTATAGTTATATATGTAAGTACATATTTCTTGTTAAATGATAATTTCGTTTAAAATAAAATTGTACTAGCTGCTTCTCCCCGTTTTGATCCTCTACTCGGCTCCATTTTACCGTAGTGTGATGTTTTTGTAGCCTAAAGCCTTCCTCGATAAATAGACAAGCCAACACAGAAAGTATTGTTAAATTCGAACCAGTAATTCCGATTTAGGCGTTCAAACAAACAAACAGCTTTATATTAAGTAATAGATTTAAAAGTCATATTTTTTTAGGTGTCCCCATTTAATGCATTTGGAAGCCATCTACGTTAGTTTTTGCTTGCGTGCATTACTTGGTAGAATTGAACAATTTTATTGCATACACGCTAGGGTTAGCGTGCAAGGCAAAATCGTCCTAATGCATGTTACCAATAAAACCAATACGGAAGTGTATTCAATGTTTAACAATAGCTTAGCCCGCCGTACCGGGGTAAACGGTAGCCTATACATATGTTATTCCAGACCTAAAATCTATTATTCAGATACCTACCTAATCCCGTTCAGTTTAAGCTGAAAGAATAACAAACATCCAACCATCCATACTTATAGAGACCACTACGTGTAATAGTTTCAACCCCTTCTAAACCATCGCAACCGAGTTTAGTCTTCAGGATATTATATCTACCGATAAAACAAGTTACTTTAGAGACATCTAGTATCTAAATACTATATCAAGTTTTTATAAAGTTAAACTCCCAAAAAACTAAACATGTTGCTGTTATAAAGACATTTCAAGGTTCCCAGCTACAAATGTATTATGTTATAGACAAGCTACATATATAAGTACATATGTATATGTACACAAGATTAAATAACTAGCTAACTAGGTAGATACGTTGTCCTGTTAACGAACCTCTTTTGTTATATAATTAAATAATACTGAGAGGTTCTGCAAAGCGTACAATGATTACTTACTGTTTGACGTAGGTATTAAATATATACCTTCGCTTGAATGAACACAAAACAGATGTGGGCCGAGTTAACCATTTACCAATTTTTTAAAAGGGGTTACTGATCCGCGGTCCTAGTTGCATAGTGGGCCGAACGACCCCTAACTATAAATCGATATTTGATTAACAATAAAGTGAAGAATGAATGAATAATGTGCCAGATTAAGATCCTTGGTCCTTACCAAGTTATCTGATAACTACATATATCATGTTATGAAAACTTGACTTCTATCTTTAGTTATGTCTTATATTAGTGTTCTTTAGTGTTGTCTCTTAGTAATTGTTAATAGCTACCAAAAGTTGTGAAGAGGCTACTGCTTGTCCTTCGATTAATGATCCATGCAAATCAAAAACAATATAAAAATTAGTAAAGCCGTTTAGGAGAACGGACACCGATACTTATTTCACAAAGTGACTGTATAATTTGATAACCTTAAGAGATTGTTTCCGAAGATCAAAGGCCTAATTTTTTATCTAACTAAAGATTAATAGCCGTAAAATTATGATCGCCGTATATTTGTTATCTATGATAACGTTGATAGTGTATTTTACCCTCATTTTCATATGATCACAATAGAACTACAAAGTAGAAGTGTATAAAACGATTTTATTACAAGGCATGTATTGACCGCAAAATTATGTTATTGTATTTTTATTATGTATTTACAATTCACTTACTTTCTGCCTCGATCTTATGAAGGTGCTCATTCAAGTTCGACAAGCACGTAAAATGTAGATTGTTTTGCCTTTGTTTTTTTTTTTTGAAAATCATCAAATGACTTTTCCAGCCCAGGGTTAGGCGAGAGAGAGTGTCTTTACTCTTACTGACTAAAAACCCCCCATTCCTTCTCCTGCTCTGGGCCGAGGCCGCGGTGACTCATTGCGCTACTGCCCTCCAGCTAGGTAGACTGACAATATCCGTAAACTAGCAATGATTGGATAAAAAAAGTTGAACATCGAGCTCACTGGCGTTCAAGAGACCTATGTCCAGCTATGAATGTAAAAAGGGCTGATAATGATGTACATACGTTCGTCGTAGTAGGTCAAGATTGAGTGTCAGAGTAACTGACCAAAAAACAAAATCGCCGGGCCACGGGGCCTATTCTCTCACAACCCCAGCCGCGCCGATGTCTTCATGGGCCCCATCTATAGTAGTCTCATAGAACGCGTGCTATTACAATTTCTAAAAACAGCACGCAAGAAAGCGTGCGTAATAATGTTTTCATTCATATTTCTAAACGCATAACGTTCAATATTCATTATGCAATTACATACACACATCTACAAATTAATTTATAGTTTTATTCACCTTATCTGTCGGTTCATTAAACCTGTCATGTGGCTATAAAATTACCGCTGACGATGACGATACCTGGCATAGTGATTCATAGATATAATTGATACTCCACTATACACTTGAACTGTACACTATTCTTCATTTATCTGTCCCGCAATCTAATAACATAATATTAATTTATCGTGCGATGATTGGTTGCTTGAACTTGCGTTGTAAATGTTTATTATTTTACATCATTATCGCAGAGTTTCCTCGTTCAATGAAAGCGATAAGGCCGTCGGATAATCTTAGTTGCTGTTGATTTTTTGTCAAATGTAATGTTGTAATTTTGTTTGCAAATTACAGTAAGTAGATACTAAATTGGATGGCTTCACTATTTGCGTCATAGCTTTCATAATACAGTCGCTGTGACGTTAGAAACGCGAAAATGATTGTAATGACTATAAAATTTTACACCAAATGCGGTTTTCCAGACTAAATCACGGTTAAGGAAAAATATTAAAATTTATTAATTTGTCAATATAACTAACTAAACATATTAATTTGTTCATGAATTATATTCATATCGTTTATGTAGAAGACTTATGCTGCAACTAGTCCAAACTTATAATAACAAGATAAAAAACAGCTTGATCTAATGAGTGCGTTGTGTTGCGATCGAACTTGCACATTCTTGTTTGATCCTTTTTTCTTTTTTAAAAAAGTTTTGTTCACAAATTCAATTTCTCCAATGTGCCAGGTACAAACATAATATGTAGAATTTCACATACACGTTGTTTTGCATACTTATCATACCACTGGTGTTAACTACATAATATATGTTGCCAACGACCGTTTGCCTCATCCCAGAAAAAAACTGTTCTATAATAAAATTATGAAATACGTAGCCACATAGGCATGTATTGTATTGTTTGTTTGTGTGAAGATTATCCTACATGACGATATATGGGTATTATTACACCTGCATTACTGTTATCTTTATTAATTTTCCTTGTAATTGTAAGCAAAAGTGGAATAGGTATATATTTCCTGTTATTTATCTCTCTAATAACTAAAGTATTAATACTGAGTGATGAAATTCAGCGCTGTGGTCGAGAACCTAATTGCCCGGGATATTAAGCTGAGCCCTGGCCTTTTGCGCTTTTTTATTCTTTATATGTTAATCGTCCTGAAAATCAAAATCACAAAATATGTGTTATCTTTTTATGGCAGGGCAAGACCCACCATGCCAGGGAATATTTAATAGGTACTACAAGTAAAGACACTTACCCATTCCAGGTACACAATCTACCTTCAACATGGCGAGTTCAACTGGACGATCAAGAAACGTTACAAGCACATCCTCTACCTCCATCAGCAGCTCACTCTATACAGAACATCCCTGGACATTCCATTCCCCACCAAAACCCATAAAACTAGAAGAGCCAGCTTCAAGAATACTGTGGATACAGAAGAAAAGGCGGAAAGGGTTGCCATGCAAGCTGTGCCTAGAAGTAATTCTAGGAGGGCTGTAAGGCCTAGAAAGAGGAAAGGGGCGTTGCCAAGGTTAGTATTATAATGGTATACAATCTTACTTTTTTATACTCCACTAGTTTCCGCCCGCGGCTTTACTCTTGTAGTATGTTGATAAAAAGTAGCCTATGTCCTATTCCGGATGTCTGTGCCAAATCTCATCCAGATCCGTTTGTTCCGATCGTTTTGGCGTGATTATGTAACAAACATCGAAACACCGTAACTTTCGAATTTATAATATTTTAATTAGTAAGATTTATAATAAACAACACAGGAGAAAATCCTAGTGCGGGGCAACGTTTTAAAAAGAAAAAAAAAGTAGAGTGTGGAGTTATATTCTGTAGGTAAAATGAATAGGTGTACCAAAAATGCGCAGTTCATAGTTATAGTGCGGATACTATATTTAAATAAGGTCAAAAATAGTGACCTTTATTAGTAGTAATATTTACTTTTGTGGGTTGTCAAACTTCGCCCATCGATTTGTCTAGGTAACTGAGTAGACAAATAGTACAAATACTAATAATTCAGTTTAGTTCGAAAAGTTAGAATTTATATCCAGCTCAATACTGAAATACTTTAAAAAATCAGTCGCCCAATACAATAACATTTATTAACCTAACCTTACCCGGGCTTGTCAGAGACTTCTGTGACCCAACTAACTAAATTGCTTAACAATTACAGATTTCCAAAGAAACCCGAAGTTATGGTAACATACGAGGGCATCCAACTAAGAATGAAGCAGCTTGAGGAGTACCTCTACAATCTCCTAAACATCTCAATATACAGGAACCACCACGAAACGGTAAGTTACCTTCGGAAGTACCGCATCGCCTTCAAAAAGTCACACTTCGATAGATAGTAAACAATAATACTACTAAAACATTTTTTACCTTACGTACTTAATTTGAAGGTTCAATTTTAAGTGAAGGACGTTGGCAATAATACAGTTACGCGGTTTTTTACCTAAATACTTTTTGTTTAAGGTTTTATTTTGAATGTAGTGATGTTTTTTACTACTAATTGGTATTACCGGATGTATTGTGGTTCATAGTAAATTGAATTATGTAGTTAATTATTGTAGTACTATTGTTTTTTCAATGAATGGATTTATTTATGTGGTTAAATATAGTTTCTATGAATTTAGTCCCGCCAATTTATGACTCTGAAGTACATTGGGGCAAGCCCATGGTCTAATAGACGTCTTCTAGCTAATATGGTGTTGATAAAGCAAGTTACAGTCTTAGAATTGATAAACAATTTTTGCACCTATCCGACAAAACTTTCTTAAACAAATAAAAATCTTTTTTCCGTCAAAGATCAAAGCTAGCTGTCAAAACTAGAATGGTCCTAAATATGCATAAATCCTTTAACATGGTGCAAATATAACCAGAAATTATTAAATTCAATAAACCAATTTTATCATTATGAGTTACCCTGTCTGTTATACAATAAAGTTAATTAGTAAATAAGGAAAATTATTCAATACAATCCAATTAAGGTTGCGGTTTAACCAAAAGTTCTGTCGACGTAGTTCAAACGTATTAAACCCTTTATCTAAATAAAATAAGGCGTTTTTTTCAACCCAAAGTTATACTATTATTTCTACTAGTATAACTCATTAGCTATTTTGTATTGGACCTACAATAGAAGGCAAATCTACTTCAATCTATATATACATAAATAATGTATATCGAGTATGATTTTAGACCTTTTTTGAGGGAGAAAATCATACAATTAGTTCCGCCTTGAGTGAGATCCCATCCGTCCCCCCCAACAACCCCTTCGCTTTTCTACGCGAGCAATTTCAGACCCTGTGTCACTGATAACAATTTCCATAAATCCAGAAACACCCACGAGTACCTGACACTCACACAACACTTGCCCCTTATCCAACAAGTCATCAACAAAATCTGATTAATATTTTTTTTTATTACAGGTGAAATTTCTAGAAGTATCAAATCTATCGTTTATATCCGACTTGGGCGGTAAAGGCAAGGAGGGTTTGATATTGAAACGCACTGGCTCGACGCAGCCCGGGCAAGCCGGGTGTAACTGCTTCGGTCTCCTCGGAAACATGGTTTGTGTGAGGTTAGATTACGGTAGATTATAGTTACAAATACATTGTAGTATGAAACATCGGTATTTCATTAATACTGGGTAATCTATGTACTAGTTTATATATTATATTATTAGTATTATAAAGCTGAAGAGTTTGTTTGTTTGAATGCGCTTATCTCAGGAACTACTGGTTCAAATATAAACATAACTTTTTTGCTGAATAGATTATTTATCGAGCAACGCTTTAGGCTATATAACATCACGCTACAATCTGTAGGAGCCGAGCTGCGGGTGAATCCGCGTGAGAGTAGCAAGTGTGAAATAAAAATTGTATATCGCACAAACTTATATTGATATCAATAATAAAATAAAACATATATACACATCCTAAATATACGATATCTACTAAATTTAGTGCTTGTTTCTTCATATAAGCTCCTTAAACTTAGTAAGCGTATATTTCATACAAATAATGCTCTATGTTCAAATGAATAAGTTATATATCGACTATTCAGATATTGTGAAGCCCTTAAAATTGCTACTATAACTTTCAACTTTATGTAAATTACTCAAGGTTCATTGTATCTTATATGTCTGATCAAACCCACCAAGTACCATTACTTAAATTAGCATAATGAACTTTATACGAATCGTTCAAGGTTCATTTTTCCTTATTTGACTAATTATACAGATGTTTGACAAAACTTGAAAAACTAAGCAATGTTTTCATTACAGGTGCAACTATTTCTGCACTGGTCTGCTTTGTGCCAAATGGCAGGAACGATGGTTTTTCGTAAAGGATACCTTCTTCGGGTACATTCGACCGAGGGATGGCGTTATCAAAGCCGTTATGCTGTTTGATCAAATGTAAGTTAGTGATATATTTATTTATTCATCTTAACTCTTATGAACAAAAAGTGAAATAAAATGGTGCGAAAGACAGTATTTTTGCTATAATTATGGCATCAGATAAGCTTAGCTTACTCAGGACCTCTCAACCGGGGTTGCAGGGCAAGCCCAATAATGTACCGTGACCTCATCCTGGAGTAAGAGTACCTAAAGAGTCTGACACTCCCTCTCGTCTTATTTTGGGAGAGAGGAAATCAATCAATTATTTCCCCCCCCCTCATAAATAAGGGTTTCAGATCAACCAGCCCGGCCCGTTCTCTTCCTATTAGGAGACTTTAAACGCATACTATCTTGTTGCCCGCTATTTTAGTGTTCTGCTCTACATTCTAGTATAAAAAAGTTTTGTTAAACATTTTTTTACAAATATATATGAGAATTAATTTATTATTTTTCATTTCACGCAGCCCAAACAGTATGATTAGTAAGTATATTTTAGTCAATGTCGATTGTGCTAAATTTGTAATAATAGCGTCGAGGTGTAAGATTACGTTTTTTATTTCATCCATAAAACAACAGACTAATAACCTTATTTTAATTTATGAACATTTTATTACAACAAGTTTAACACATTTAAGACTGGCCGTGTTCTGTATTATTTAAACATCGCCCAAATAAGTCATATTACTTATTTTTTAATACATACATTTTGTAATATAATTATGTTGCCTATAAAATCATATACCAATGTAACTGTGTTTATATGAAAACATCCTAATTATCATAGTGATTTAAACATCTCCGTTTTTTTTTTTTGTTAGTATTATTAATTGCATGATCACCATCTTACACGAGAGTCTAATGGTGTAATGGTCACTTAAAAATCACATCAAAATCTTCACTAAGGAATAGTTGTAGTATTGATCATTTTATCTCAGAGTACGACTTAATGATTCATCTACTGAATTTACTTACTTCCTCTTCAGGTTTGAAGTGTCAAGCGGTATGTACTCGACGGGAATGAACCATGGTCTTCAGATCCTCAACCAGAGCCGGCAGATGGTGATCAAATGCTGGACGAAGCGCAAGAGTAAAGAATGGATGCAGCACCTCAAAGCTGTGGCTAATCAAACTGGTAAGAATGTAGAAAGTTTTTTGCACTTGACTCTACTGGAATTTTTCTTGTTTTTACATATACCAAAGATGGTATATTTAAAAATATAGGGTTGACTTGAAGAGCTCCTCCTTTAGATGCGGAACTACAATCTGTGCTTCACAACGAATTGCTTCGTGAGGCGCTGACGTGCAGTCATATTGATTTCTATGTGTGAACACACAGCAAAAACTTTCGAAATATGAATGGTTGTCTATTATTATTTATTTATTTATTATTGCTTAGAAGGTATATTTTACATTATAAAAAGTAAAAAATGTCCAACAAAACTGTATGCACAGTTTGTCTGTTGGATCAGATTTCTAAACTAGATTTCGTTACTGCATTTAAAGCACTTTCCCAGTTCCCTACCAAATTGAGAACACATAAACTCGCAAGGACTGGAAATCAGCACCCTAGATTTGAGCCATCGTGGCTGGGCCATAGCAATAAAATTGCTATGGCCGCATTTTATTTTTACTTTTTTTGTATTTCTATTGCTTTTATCACAGCGTCGATAAATAACCATACATTTCTTCCCCCAGCTCGTGACTTCACCTACCCAAACCTTCACCACTCTTTCGCGCCACCACGAGCGTCAACGCCAGTAGGTACCCTCGTTGACGGTTCCGCCTACCTCTCCGCGGTCGCCGATGCCATGGAACTGGCGAAGGAAGAAATCTTTATAGCCGACTGGTGGCTCAGCCCGGAGATATACTTGAAGAGACCAGCTCTTAATGGCAGCTATTGGAGGCTGGATACGTTGTTGAAGAGGAAGGCGGTTAGTGATTATTTAAATTTGTGTATAGAATAGATAAAATATTGTTTATTGTACACCATCGAAATAAAAAAAAACACATGGAACAACAATAAAAAAAAAAGACAGTTCAATTGGCGAAAAATATGTATGTATGGTTTTGGGTTTTTAACTAAACTTAACTATAGTTGTACTTACTGCAAAAATTTTACTTTTTTAGCTAGAACAATAATATCCTTGTATCGTTTGTCGAGATAAAATATCAAACTTTCGCATAGATTTGTAAGATTAATAATTTAAGTTTTAAGAATTTTAAGACCTGAAATAATAATATGTCTTAATTAAAAATAATGTGATTAACCTCTTAACCCATTTGGTAACGATTTAATTTACTATTATTTTCAGGCTCAAGGTGTAAAAATATTCATAATGTTGTACAAAGAAGTGGAGATGGCGTTAGGTATCAACAGTTTCTACAGCAAAAGTAAATTAGCTAGCGAATATATTAAGGTAAAAATATTTCATAACACATTATATGTACATATATGCGGAATTTAAACATCTTTGAATTTTCAGTCTAAGAGTCTAAAAAACTTAAGCAATTGTAATGTAGTCAACCTGATTGCCTCGTTAGTAAAATAAAATGATTACAAGCATCTGCCAAAGGAAAGAACTCGTATTTCATTTCTGAATAAGGTGTAGTGTTGCTTCCACAGTGCCTCACTGTCTTTATTTGTGATATATAGCACGAATTCTATAATTGTAGGTTTATCAAATGGGCATAGAGCAGCCATCTATTACTCGGTAACTCCTCTGGTGTTATAGGAGACCAGTGGCGCAATAAAAAAAAACTGTTTTTTTTTTAACTACCGCCTTTTTACATATTTGTCGTTAGTACGATGCCATCCTTTTGGGATAAAGCAATTTAAGAAGGGTTACATATTTTGAGTTTGAATCGGTAATGTGTTCTGGAATAGTTGAATTAATTAAATATCCCATAGAAATAAATAATGGATTGTTTTCAGGTATTCCGTCACCCTGACCATGCGAAAGCCGGCGTGTTGTTCTGGGCACATCATGAGAAGATTGTGTGTGTGGACCAAACAGTCGCCTTTGTAGGCGGCATCGATCTCTGTTACGGAAGATGGGATGACTATAAACACAGGTAATATTTTACAAATCATTTTTTACAATTTTGTAAATTCTGAAACATAAGTTCATAATTAAGTAGCGTAAGATGTCTCATACCGAAAATCTTCATTGTATTTTTTTATTATTTTTATTCAAAAACTGCTTACTCGTGTGGGTTATTCGAGACAACTCTACTTATTCAATGTTTTTACATATGATTCCCGGTGTAACGTGAAATTAAACGAGCTTTTCTCGAATTACTGTGAGTATCTAAAATCGTTTATTAAACCAACACACCTTATTTCTGTATCGGGTAAAGAAAATATTTGAAATCGAAAATTCGATAAGAATTTAGATCGACTTAAATACTTATCTTACCAAACTGACAAAAATTGCCGAAAACAAAAGTTCTAATATCATAATTTAAAAAGATTTTATGTTTTTCCAGGTTAACGGACCTCGGCAACGAAGTCCAACCAAAAACCCTGTTACGAATGAAGAAACAAACATCGTCGTCTCCCGGCGGTGGACCGTACATGCCGTATACCAACGGACTGGAGGCTGCCTTGGAACTCGCTAAGAGCTCCAAGGATCTAGTCATCAGTTTAAACGAGTAAGTTTGAACTTATACCTCAGCATTATGGTTATAAGGTTTACTTTTGTTTGTCTTTTGCCCCAATATATTTGAAAAACGAGCAACGGCTTGAGGCTTCCCTGGACATCCCAAATACTCTAAAATCCCAAGGATCGAAGTCATCAGTTATATACATACATAATATAAGGGCCCATTTTTAACTGTAGTCTTTGGTACTTGAAAAGGTAAAGACTTCATTTGTAACTGTTTTTCCAAAATGTTGATGCTGTTCTTAATAATTTTTAAGGGTTTAATTTGGAAACATTTACGGATTTAGAAAGTTCGTGTTTATCTAAAATACATGAATCCGCAAATAAGCCAGCATTGTTTAAAGTTTCCTAAATATTTAAAAGTTTTTGTAAACAACTAAAATCTCTCAAATTTACAGCGCGACATTAAAAGAAGTAAAGGAAGAAACAGAAAAAGAGAATAACAACGAAGTAAAACCTGAAACAAGTGCAACAGAGAATTCAGAGAACCTTCCGGTCTTAGAACCTGGAGACCAGCTCCTCATTAGGAGCGCCAACCCTCAAATAGACCCAACGAAACGGGAGAGCGCGCTAGACACGCCAGATGTTCAACGACGGAATGTTTTAGACAAAATAACGGATAGGGGCAAAAATATTATTAGTATTCTTTACCCTCCCTATGAAGAGGAAAGAAATGAACAGAAATTCGATGATTCGGAAAGAAAGAAAGCTGAGAAGTATGCTCTATCAACTGATCAAATTTTACTGACGGATGCGCTGGGCATCAAACCTGCTGAAGTTTCCAGTAGGCAAGTCAGCCAGCCTACTCCCTTAGCGCAGGTCATTGAGGGAAGAGTAATCACTGAGGAAACGAAAGAAGTGTTGGAGCACAAAGAAGGAAACTCGAAACTCTGGATAGGAAAGGATTACACTAATTTTATCGTTAAAGACTTTAATAATTTAGATCTGCCGTTTGTAGGTGAGTTTTCATGTTATTTATTTATTTCAACAACTCCAATGTGATTTGTACAATACGGTTGTTTTCAACTAGTCAAATTCAATACTTTTATCCAAATGTCAAAAACTATACTTTTCTATGAAACATTAATACTTATTTAAAAAAAAATACTTATCTAAAATTTAGTGTATCGATAGATCGATGAATAATTGAAAATTGAAACGTCTAATTAATTTATTTTTGACCTGGGAAACTACCCAATTATGGCAGAACGTACCACTGATGGCAAAACCGAAACATGACAGTCTGCGCCTTGTCACTTAATTGTTAATGTATATTTTCGGTAATAGCTGAGTGATCTCATTCCAATCTATCATTTCACAACTGGGTTTAGACTTATTGTTGTAAAAACTTTTTCAAAACTATAACCTTATTATACACAGACTTAGTGGACCGTAACACGACTCCCCGTATGCCCTGGCACGATGTCGGCGTCGTCCTGCAGGGCGCCGCCGCCAGAGACGTCGCCCGGCACTTCATACAGCGCTGGAACGCTATCAAGCTGGAGAAGGCTCGGTGACTACATTTTTACTAATTTAAAAGTTACTAAATATTTTTTTTATTTAATTAATATATTAATTTTCATCCACTTATGTCTAAAAGAGCTGTAGAGCTTTAGGAATTACCATTTAAGCTAACTTTTGCTTGTGATAGGTAGTTCCGCAATTAAGTATATTTAAATTTAGTTTATTAGCTAACGTGAACTAGCTAACTACTAACTACTAGCGAACTAGGTAACTTGTAAAATATTTAAATTTTACATTTACATAAAATTTTTAGACAACTTTTAGATAAAAAGACACGCCAAGAAAGCTTAGATAACTTAAACCGGTAGACCTAGGTAAACAATAAATATCTGTATCTATTAATAGTTAAGTATACAATAAGTACCTTTTTTACTTTATTGTACACGTGTAATATTATTAATAAATCTCGTTTCAGACAAAACCCGAACTACCCCTATTTATTGCCGAAGGCGTACGCCGACATCAAACCTTTACAAGATCTGGACAAAGTACTCGAAGTCGATATCAACAATGTCTCGTGTCAGGTAACTATCACATCAAAGTATTCCAAATCTTAATCCCTATAAGAGCATACCAATCAAGGATCTTTGACTTGACTCCTTATGCGTAGGCAGTTTATATACGAAGTAGTTCCTGCCATTAACTTTTTTTCGTAATTTCTCAGGTACTTCGTAGTTTATCGAGCTGGTCAGGTGGTTTCTTAGACCCGGACACAGTGGAACAGAGCATACACGAAGCGTACGCAGACACCATCACCAGGGCACAGCATTACGTGTATATTGAGAACCAGTTCTTCATCACGCAGTCAAGGTCCAGTCTAGCTGTTAGGAATCAGGTAAGTTTTTGGAGATGTATTAAGATATTAAATTGTTCTATGATACCTCTGCGCTCAGACAACCTTAAAAGTATTTTTAGTAAAAGAGATAGATAGATAAGACATAGATTCAGCACAAACAATAACATACACAAATTAATTGGCAAATAAAATGTTTGTTTCGTCAATTTGTATAGTGAATAAGTTGAAGAATATGGACGCATGAGTGATACAAACATGTGGAATAGGCCGAGTATTAGGTTTTATTTTTATTTATTTGGGTTTATATTATATTTATATAGGTTAGGGTTTTGATGAAAAATTGGGATGAAATACTTTTTAATGTAACAAATGCACACGGAGGCCAAACAGCCTCTCATTCCATTGTCTAACTCTTAGCTCATAATAAGAACTAATCTGTCATCACCCAGTAAATAAAAGAACAAATCTTCAATGTCTACTTTCCTTGTCAGATAGGTGAGGCGCTATACAACCGCATCATGCGTGCGTTCCGCGCGAAGGAAACGTTCCGCGTGTTCGTGGTGATGCCACTATTGCCGGGCTTCGAGGGAGAGGTCGGCGCGCCCTCCGGTACCTCCCTACACGCCGTCACTCACTGGAACTACCAGAGCATCTGCAGGTATGTCAAAACTTATTTTCTGTACAAACACCCATATTTGTGCACAGATGGCGCTAATGTAGTTTTTAATCCTTTCCGCTATACCACTGTGGTATTCAAAGTATGATTGTCCCTTTATTTTGCATAGGAAAAATTTGCCAAATTATTAACAGAGTTACTAACCTAGGTATACTAGTTATCAATCAATCAACTAAACCTTAACGATCTTCAGTTCGATTCGATTGAAGATAGATAAATCTCCTATCTATCATGCCCTAACAAGGTGCACACTATCACAATTATTGCCCGTTTTACTCCAAATTTTCTCACCGATATTTTTAAAACAAATCCGAATTTCAAACAATACTAAAGTTATTGATCAATTCAATCTCAATCGTAATCCATTACAGTATTTCAAATACATAAAACCTATTTTAATTTTACAGGAGCCGCGAAGCCATAATAACTCGTCTATACGAATCCGGGGTCCCAGATCCCTTCGAATACATAACCTTCCACGGCTTACGCACTCACTCAGTACTTGGGGGTGAACCAGTGACGGAGTTAGTGTACGTGCACTCAAAGTTACTCATTGCTGATGACAAGACCATTATTTGTGGCAGCGCGAATATAAATGATAGGTCTATGATTGGAAAGAGGGATTCGGAAATCGCTGTGCTGTTGCAGGTTTGTTCAGTTTATTTATGTTTATTATGTGTATGTCTATACCAATCACGGGACCAAAAGGTTCCGGTGATTTTGGAGTCGTACGGGGCCTGGAGTATGGTCTTAGAAATTAAGGCGCCCGCTTCTCATGCATGAGGGTACGCGTTCGACTGGCAAGTACCACTACCGATGTGTATTTTACTGAGTACTTAATATGGAAGGGGGGGGCAAGAATGGTGTCTCCAGGAACCTCACTCACATGCCGAAACACAACACTGAGGTTATTACACTCTAGTTTGCTATGAAGACGTTTTCTCGAGCCGACCCGTTATTGGCGAAGCATGACTCTGGCACACTTACTTCTTTGATGGAAAAAGCAAAAAATATTATTTTCTTTTCGAATAACACAAAAAAATACAGTTTTTATATTCAGTACAGGAAATAACTTAATTAATAATACTATTTTTTTTTTCTTTCTTTGTCTCCATAGGACGAGCAGTTTATAGATGGTACTATGAACGGTGAGGCGTATCCATGCGGTAAAGTAGCGGGGGCATTGCGCAAACGACTGTTCAGAGAACATCTAGGTCTTATGGGTGAAGACTTAGACAAACTAGGCGTATCTCTGGATGATCCCTGTTGCCACGAGTTCTATAGAAACTATTGGAAGGCTATATCTAAGAGGAATACTGATTTGTATGAAGATGTGAGTACTGTTTTGTATATTATTTGTTTTTACCTTCCTGCCTGCGAATTTGACCGCAAACCCTTATATATTATACATTTAAACCTTTCTCCATCTATTAAAAAACTGCACCATATTCGGTCACTTCGTTTTAAAGATCTAAGCATACAACATAAGGAAAACCACTTCTTTTTATACTATAATATAAAGTGATAATAATCACAACAATAGATCAATCAATTCTTACGCCTAAAATTGGATAAAAATTGTAAAGTATTTGTGTGTTTTGGAAACCTTAAACAGTTTTTAAATGTTAGCCACTAATTCAACTACCACTATTTAAAGTACCATATTATGAACCCTAAAATCATTGAATAAAATATAAAATCCAACAACTCATCCTTTGCAGGTATTCCACACAATACCAACAGACGCGGTACACACCTTCGCTGAACTAAAGAAATACCAAGAAGAAAACGAATGCCTTTGGAACAAGGACCCAGCTCTAGCGAACAGGAAAATAGACCTCATACAAGGATATTTAGTAGATATGCCATTAGAATTCCTTTGTAACGAAACTCTAACACCTAGGAACACTTCTATGGAAGGTATGTTGCCGACTGCGCTTTGGACGTAAAGGCCATTTAAGAAAGTTAACTGCCATACATTTAGGAAGAAAATGTAATTAAATGGTAAGCAAATACTTACTTTAAAATTGTATTGTTATGGTGTCTATTGATAGAGATAATGGGTTTTATTTATATAGCTCACTGATAACAACTTTAAAACTAAGATACAGCTTCAGCTATTTGTAATATAATCCCTTTGATATCACCTCGGGCTCAAATTCAATATTCAGGTCAAACACCGTAATTTATTATAGTGACATCTGTTGCGTTTGCTAGGAACTAGTGAGCCATTCTTCGTCATAACGTTTAAAATATAGTAAGTAGGTATATTCTAAAATCTTCCTGCCTCCTCCCTTTTTTAGAATTGGTTAAAACTCGGCCTGAATTAAATATTTACGATAGAATTTTCAAGTATAATAAATAATTTAGGTTATGAAATGGTGGTGCGGGTTATACAGTTTTAACATTTTCATCGTTTGTTAGGAAGGGAGATATTTGAATTTTGAAGCTATTGTGTAAACAAGAAGTGTAGCTATAATCAGTGTATCAAAGCACTATTTAAAATGTAAACCTTATGGGAATTTACTGTAATTGGACTAGCATGACCTAATGCGTTCCTAACGCCATCTAGGACACGCAAAATTGAAATTCAAGTTAATGGAATGATATTGTCTTCTCACTTCAATCATTGAGAAATGAGTGAGACAAAAAAACCATCATAATAAAATGGTAATGATGGACGGTGAAAAAGTTAAAATTTTAACTTTTAATTTATGTAATTGCATAATAAATGAAATGCTAAGTATGTCTTAAGTTTGAATGGTAGGTAAAGTTGTGTGCAATTTTATTTTTTCTATTTATTTTACCTACATAATGAGTAATTGTTGATCTGAAGTAGTTTTCTACAGAGATTCCGTTTTTATTATTATTAATGTTTTATTTTAATTAATTGTTTTAAAGTCTGTCCATATTGTAGTTTTTCTTTATACTTGTCTATATAACAGTTAAAGTAATAGAGCTAATGGGTCAAATATTTTTGATACTTATGTAATGTAATTAATAATTTCCTTAATACCGAGTCTTTTACTTAATTTCTTTAGTTACCACAAAATATAACTTAATTTATAAATATTTATTTTGTTACTGTTTTTATTATGTTAATTTTAATTTGCATTTTACAAGTTGGACATATTTAATCGATAGCAATAATAAATTATATATTTTTTTATGATTATATGATAAAATACGTTTAATATTTATAAACAGTCATAATATTGTTTTGTATTGGTGCATTTATCATTCCAAGTGTTGCTGACAATGAAAATAAACATGTTGTATTGTCATTTAGACACTTATTTTAGCTACTTCTGGAAAAGAATAATCAGTATACACTGTATTAAAAAAAATCGTTTATTTATTATTAGGTAATTTAATGCGGATCAATATAGCATTTTTTCTTTTCGCATATTCTATAAGTAAATCTTTCATATCATTCTTCACTCTGGATTATGTCTATCTATCTTTTCATTGATAGTCTCCAATTTCTTTTATTTCTATTTTATATAAAAACTAATTCCTTTCTTACTTCTCCATTTATTTACCACTCCGTGTAGCCTATAGCAGCAGCAGTATTTTACAATATTTCATAGGAAAAAAAAACTATCGTTACCTGGTTCCTCATTCCGCAATAAAACTTGTCATTCCAATAATACCACCGTATTAATTACCACGACTTTTTAACAAAATATAAGTCTGCTAAGTTATTTGGCATGTGACACATAGGATACAAAATAATTGATCAATGAATAGAAAACATACTTAATAATATAAAAGGTCACTGTACTACAAAGAGAACCAAATATTGCAAACATTGCTTCACATTTATATATTACTTTTAACCAACATACCAAATGACTTTGCTGACCATTCCTTTTTAAAACAAAAAGCAAATGTTTTTATCAATCTTATTAATTTTTTTTTTGTTAACTAAAGTAAATTTTGTATTGCATACCCATATATCTTGCTTTAGAAAAAAGCATAATAATAATAATTAATTTGATGTTTCCTAAGTTAAAGTATTGACATTTTGGCTACTAAATTAAGAATGCTTATTAAGAATATAATTATAATATAAAAGCTAATGGAACACTAATGGATAAAATGTTTTGAAAAAAGTATTTTAATAAGAGGCTTCACTTGATTTTGACTTGCAATGGCTGTTTACATTTTTCTTTATTTAATCAGTCCTAGTGCCTAATAAATAACTACCTACTTAGATATGTAGACATTTTGAGATTGTAAATGATTTGTGCTGTGCTGTGCAAAATAATTAATTATTTATTTCAATTTAACTATAAACTTATGATATATTTATTATTTAATGATTACTGTCTTACCTTATGAATAATAATTTATCAATATTTGTGATGAACCTGTGTTCTGTTAATGTGTTGTATTGTATTGTAATTAAAAATGATATTTTTCTGATTATTCTGTTTTTATTCCAACATAATATCATATGAAGGGCATTTACTTATATGACAACTTTACTTTATCAAACATGTAAACATACTAACACATCTTGTTATAAAAGTGGTATAACTTTTATAACAAGATGTGTTAGTATGTTTACATGTTTGCACATGTAAACCCACATGAAACAGCCAGCCTGTTTTAAAGCTCTTTAAGTTTTTCGAAAGTGCTGCCATCTCTTACTTCTCAATATAAACATAAGTCTCTTTAAAACTCCCAGAAAAAAACGCGGGAAGATTTGTTGTCATTGGTTTACTTTCGAAGGTACTAGATGGCGGTAATGCGACTAAGGTTAGTGAACGATGCACGTGTATGGCAGCATGCAACAAGTGGTTGCTCCGTTGCTCCGTAGTTTGAGGTAGGTAAGTAAATCGTTGAATGCAGTAAGTATCGGACGAATATGATAATGAACTTTATCGGTTTAGTCATAAGTTTGTAATTTTAATCAACTATTTGAAAATGTAGGTGTATACATATTACATGTAGATCATATCTATATAAGAAGGTAGTATCTATATACCTACCTAAATTATTTTATTAAGAATTTTACTCATGAATAAGATTAATCTTTCACTTTAAGTTGATTAGTTATGTAATAATGAGTAAATACTACGAATTATGTATCAATAAATAGTTAATCATTGAATTATGAACATTACTTCATTCTTGAATATTCAAATGTTTAATGAATATAACTGAAATAATTGAACCCATTACTTTTTTTTAATTGAGTTTGGGTCCATTTTAGTGAAATCAAAGAGTCGGAACTTCGGTAGGTAACAGTTTAAACATAGATATAATAGGCCTATTGATTTAGGTACTAATTATTATTACTAAGTAGTAGGAGGGTGGGCTTTTCATCCTAAAACAACCTTATTTATTTAGAAGGTAAATAAGAGATAAATTAATTAATATCTAATTAGGAAACATTTTATTTTATTATTAATAATATCATCCATATTGTGGCTTTTGCCCAATAGGTATATACATACCTACTTATTACAGTCATACTTATCGTTATTTAGTGACAGGTAAAATTGTTGGGCAGGAACTGGTTTATCAAATCACCCAAAAAAATTCTGTTTTTTTTAACGAATGTTTTATTTTCGCTTTGCAATTAACAATTTTTACATTTTATTTTAAAATTTTCATTGTTTGCTCTAAGTAAGTACCTACTAAGTTTTCGGATGTTATTTAGACTTAGTTTAAAATTTTTATCTAAGTAGGTGTATGTACTATGTATGGGAAATATGTTATAAGGTCCTCTAGTGATCTCATAGAACCAAAGTTTCTTTTTAATGGGACGAATGGATCACTCCATACTATCATAGTCATAGTATGCAATCGGGGCGATCTATGCACGCCTTCACACCAGTAGAATTGTTACGGGTTACCAGACATTTAGGGGCTTGCAATTCGAAGATTAGGGTAGGTATTTGGGTGAAGCAGAGGTTAAATTGTCATCTTGACCTAAATAAGTAAAGCATTTCATTAATTATTGACTACCGCGTTTTATCCTACCTAATAGTGACGTCATACTTTTGACAGATAAGTGTGGAGCGATGCGTTTAATTATCTGCAATTGGACGAAAACACTTTTGGTTAAAGACGTTTAACGTCAAATTAACTAATATTTGGCTACATACAAAATAATTAAGTTTTTTTTACCATCTACCTAATTAAAAAGATAAGAAAATTCAAGCTTATTAATAGAGTGAGGATAGCAAAGTATCTACGCAATACGTAATAAGTATGTAAATGACAGTTGACAGAAGGTCAATGACGTTTCTATTTTTAACTTGAATGTCATATTACTACGCAGACATTAGGTACCTACTACTTCTTTTAAAATACCTACAACTTTTTAGGTACCTAACGTTGATATACTTCGAGGTAGGTAGGTACTTTAGAAATAAATCATTAAAGTGGGTTAGTAAAAATAGGTAATTAGATCCATTGGTTCAAGTTCTTTTTTGCCTGACACACTGCACACCGAGGTACTAAGTGTAAAATAAACTTTCATCGAGTTTTGATGAATTCCAAACACTTAAAAAACCCTAATGGTATGCATCTCGCCTTTTAGCACCATAAACAATACATATTGAAACAATCAATCATGGACGTCTTTCTCCCATTTTTCACGATTCCTAACTTAATTAAAGATTGAGTAGGTCCTAACTAAAGATAACATTTCCCAATCCCACACTTCATACCAAACAAATAACACAACAAAATGTATTGTCCAGCTTCATTACCTACGTTTCGCGCGCATTTTTGGGCGGGAGATCTGGTTGGAGCGTGCGAAAGAGACAACACTATTGGGGTGGATTTGTAGCAATCACGTTGACAAATTACAAGGGAAAATATACCATGTCACTGTATAAATAAAGATTCGATTAGCATTGAATTTTATAACTAAACAGGAAGCAATACAGGCCAATCAGGTAAATGGCCTCAATGTAACAGCTGTAGATAATAGCGGGAAAATGATACCTAAATACTTAGAAAATAAATTATAAATACATAATGTTACGCCTGTAGATACGACTTATGTATTGGGATAG